AATCTTGAGGTCTCAGCCAAGACTCGAGGGCCTTGGTTTGTGATGGGAGCGTTTGTGAACTGCTTGCGCCCCCAGGTGGCGAGTGCCTGCTTTGCTCTGAGTGATGCGCTGATGGGGGCCCTAGGGATGAAGGAGCCCAGGCCTGGGCCTGGCAGCACAGCACGGTGGTCCACTGAGAGCACAGAATCAGAAGGGACCCCGTCCTCTCCCTCAGGGACACTACTGGCTATTATCAACAGCCCCAGGCAGGGCAGGTGCTTGATGGGGACAGGTTTGGGGACAAAGAGGAGGCTGCCTCTGGCGGGGGTCCCCAGATCTGGCCCCAGAAAAGGGTCTCAGTGCCAGAAAGCAAGGGCAACGGGGCTTAGGCTTTGGGTAGCTTTCCAGGTGTTAACAGCCCTTGTCCTATGGCCAGGTGGGCCCAGCCAGCCCCCGGGCGACAGGCCCCAGCTCTCCCCCTTATAGAAATGGTGAGCACCTCCGGGAGGGGCTGGGGCCTGGCTGTGGACGAGCAGTCACAGACCTGCAGGCAGGTCCCCAGGGAGTGGGCAGAGGAGAGACCAGCTTGAGAAAGTCCTCTGCCCCCTCCTCTCCCCAGGGTGTCTATGCCACCCACAGCTACAGCCCCTAATGCCCATGGCACTGGTACCCAAGAGAAGGGCTTGCCCGTGGAGGGCTGTGAGGCAGGGGGAGGTGAGGTGCTGGAGGGGCACTGTAGAGGGAACTTCCAATGGAGGGGTCCCCAGAAACCCCAGAACAGGCTTCCAGAGGTCTGGGGACAGACTTGGGCCTACCGGCAGAATCAGGGCGCGGCTCTCCTGGAAACTTAGGGCAGTAATTATGACCCGATGTAGCTAAGGAGAACATAGGCTCAGAGAGGTTGAGCGAGCAGCTGAGGCCACACGGGAGCTTTGGGCTTACCGCCAGGCTGTAGAAGTGGCTGAGGGGCCGTGGGCGGGACCGGAGGCTGTGGGCAGGGTCGCGACGCCCAGGGTTGTGCTCGGGGCGGGGCCGCGGGCGGGGCCGGAGGCTGTGGGCAGGGTCGGGATGCCCAGGGTTGTGCTCGGGGCGGGGCCGTGGGCGGGGCCGGAGGCTGTGGGGAGGGCCGTGATTTGGGCAGGGCCGTGATTCGGGCTGGGCCGTGATTCGGGCAGGGGGCGGTGGGTTGCGCCCGGGGCCGAGCCATGGGGAGGGCTGGAGGCTGTGGGCAGAGTCGTGACGCCCAGGGTTGGGCTCGGGGCGGGGCCGTGGGCGGGACCGGAGGCTGTAGGCAGGGTCGTGACGCCCAGGGTTGTGCTCGGGGCGGGGCCGTGGGCGGGGCCGGAGGCTGTGGGGAGGGCCGTGATTTGGGCAGGGCCGTGATTCGGGCTGGGCCGTGATTCGGGCAGGGGGCGGTGGGTTGCGCCCGGGGCCGAGCCATGGGGAGGGCTGGAGGCTGTGGGCAGAGTCGTGAGGCCAGGGGTTGTCCTCGGGGCGGGGCCGCGGGCGGGGCCGGAGGCTGTAGGCAGGGTCGTGACGCCCAGGGTTGTGCTCGGGGTGGGGCCGTGGGCGGGGCCATGGGCGGGGCCTAGCGACTCCAGCCCGGAGCTCTCGTCCTTCCCACCCTCGCCCGCGGTTAGGGGGGCCCTATGGCTGGGGGCGGCCTGCCTCCCGCTGTGACCAGCAGATGGTGCCAGAGGCCGGCCGATGTCGAGGCCTCCTCTGACTCGGAGACCAGCTGGCTGGGGGCCGAGTGTGCAGGGCTTCCAGTGTCTCTCCGGGTCTGGGCCTAGCAGGGGAGAGATGGGACTCGGCCTAAGGAGAGGAGTGGGCACAGCTACTGGGCAGCCCCTGCCTGGGGACCCGGCGGTGCGGACATCAGACCCTGGCTCTGACACCTCCAGACTGCCAGCAGGGGCGGCAGTTCCCCTGGGGGAGGGTAGACTGGGGTCTGCGCCCTCCCAGAAACCCCAGGGGAGGGGAAGCGGGTCCGGTGTTTCCTGTGGCTGTGCCTTCCGCTCCCCCTTCCAAGCTGTCCCTTCAAGGGCCTGGTGGGAGTGGGCAGGATCGAGGTGTGGGGAGGAAGAGGAGAGGTGGGGCATCACCCACAGCAGGGGGTCCAGGACCGACGGAGGGAACTGTGTCAGGTGGGGGGTTTGACCCTTGTGTCTCTGCCTCTGCCCCCCTTCACAGTGCCATCACCCCCCCCTTCCCCCTGCAGCAATGGTGAGAGCCTCTAATTTGTCCTTGAGGCCTTAATTTGCTTTTCAGCCAATTATCACCACCTTAGCTTAATATTCTGACCGCACGGGGAGGGGAGGTCTGCATAGCTTTGAACACTTCCTGTGGACACGGAGCCCCCCTTCCAACCTTGGCTCCTGCATCTTAGCCCACCCCCACCCCTCAAATGCCTGCTGCGAAGCAGGAAGGGGTCAAGGCCGAGCCCCAGGGAGAGCTGGCTGCTGACTCTGGAGGCCCCCTTGGTCCTGCCCTGTCCAGACGGAGCCTGGAGGGTAGTTCACAGGCCTGCCTGGGAGCCCCACTCTGGCTGCTGGCTACTCCTCATGGCAGAAACCCTGACCACCACCACTGCCCCCCCCCTCCCCCCATCCATCAGGGTTCCCCGGGGAATTCTGGGAGAACTGACTGCAGATCAGGATCTGCAGGATCCTCAGGCTCAGAGGAGCCCTCCCAGTACCCACTGAGGCCAGGAGTCGACACCCAGTCACTCCAGCACCAGCCCAGGGCTTGGCTCTTGCCGGGTGAGGACATTTCAGGTATCCCCTCCTCCTGGGGGCACCCTTCGAGCCATTCCCCAGGGAGTCCAGCAGCCTGGCTGGTGGGGGAGGGTGGGCACAGCCCCTCCCCGGGGCTTTATCTCTACTGGGAGGCGGGCTAGTTTCCCCAACCCCAGGCGCTGCCCCACAGGGAGCAGCCCTAAGCCCCAAGGAGAAGCTTGCCGAGGAGCAGCCCAGCCCAGGGGTCGCTGCAGTCAGCGACTCGCACTCTGGTCCTCAGAGACTGGTGGGAGGCATTAAACTGTGTCCCCAGAAGATCCGTCTAAGTCCTCTCCCCTGTAACTGAGGGTACGTAAGCTCTTTGGAGATGCTTTCAAGGTGAATCAGGGTCATCTTGGATCGGGGGGGGGGGGGCGGAACCCGTAACTAGTGCTCCTATAGGAAGACGGAGCCCTGGACACAGACACACGGAGAGGGGGTCCCTACAGGGAGAGCAGGCACGAGCCTAGTCCTACCGTGTCTCCTGGTGAAGCTCGGGGGGGCCAGCCAGCCGATGCTCCCCACCCCCCACTCCAGCCACCAGGGGCATACCAGGCAGCTGGGGCCTCTGGTCACTGCTTGGGCTCCTGGTGAATCTGGCCAAACATTAGTCACCCCTGGAGAGGCTGCAGCCTCGGTGCGTGGCGCTGGGGGGGTGACTCGGGCCTGGCGGGGCCCAGAGCCGGTTCCCGAGCCCCCCCCAAATCGCTGGCTGCAGGCATCTGCTCCTGTCGGCCTGGTGTTCTCCCACCGCCGGTCCCTTCCAGGCTCCGGGCCCAGGTCACCCATCGCCAGGCCTGGAGATGGGGGCTGAGGGAACGAGGTCATGTGCCCTGGGGGAGTCCCGGGTCTCGGCGATGTGAGCCTGTGAGTCTCGAGGTAGCATGCCCGTGGGACGAAATCCGAGGCAGCGCTCTCTTGAGGTGGAAATTCCTCCTTCGCCCGGAAACCTGAGGCTCTTAAAGCCCCCAACCACTTAGATGGGACCCACCCACAACACGAGGCTCATCTCCTTTACTTAAAACCACCTGATGCGCCCACAGCACGAGGCTCGTCTCCTGTACTTAAAGCCACCTGCCGGTAGACGTTAGCCGCGATCACAAACACCTTCCCAGCGACATCTGTACCAGCGTGTGACTGAGTAACCAAGAAATGGAGCCTCGCCGAGTGGACCCAGAAAACTAACCACCACAGCTTGTATCGTTATTGTTAATTCTCATTATGTTTATTTTTTCCCCTTTACAGATGGAAGCTGGGGCTTGGAGGTGGCTGCTGTCCCGGTCAGGGCTAAGCCGGGGCCCCCCAGCTGCACCCATCCATGGGCCTTCCCGAGACCAGGTTGCTGGGCAGTGATGTGTTGCCCACAGAGATACACCCACTGGCCCAGACCATCAGACCAGCATGTCCAGAGGGGCCAGCACGTCTGGAGTGGGGGGGGGGAGGGGCCCAGCATGTCTGGCAGGGAACAGCATGTCCTGGAGGAACCAGCATGTCCGGAGGGTACAAGCACATCCTGGAGGGACCAGCACATCCAGGGAGGATAGCGTGTCCGGCGGGGGGGGGGGGGGGCCCCCACCCCCGGGGGGCGTAGCACATCCAAGGGGCTGGGGGCAGCACGTCCAGGGGGGACAGCATGTTTGGAGGGCCAGCTGGCCCGGAGGGGTGGCTGGCACCCTGGGGTCAGGGCAGCTGCCAGGGCAGTTTGAGGCCCCAGGGCGCTGGGGGGCTCCCAGTGGCCGTACTTGCCCTGGATATCTGTCATTTGCTGCCGACGTGTGTGAGCCAGGCTATGCATGTAGAAAGCTTTTGTCTTGAGAAAAATCAGAAGTGTTTTTGCTGGGCCTGTGTTCTCAAAGGGCAGCCATGGGCTGGAGCTCAGGGACCCCCACTTAGTGGGCCTCGGCTGCCTGGACATGGAGGAGAGCCAGGCCCCAAGCTTTGCCACCGAGGTGAGGCAGTGCTCGGGTCTGTGTTTCCATGCTGACTTCTTTTTTTTTTTTTTTTTTTTATTTTTTTCAACGTTTATTTATTTTTGGGACAGAGAGAGACAGAGCATGAACGGGGGAGGGGCAGAGAGAGAGGGAGACACAGAATCGGAAACAGGCTCCAGGCTCTGAGCCATCAGCCCAGAGCCCGACGCGGGGCTCGAACTCCCGGACCGCGAGATCGTGACCTGGCTGAAGTCGGACGCTTAACCGACTGCGCCACCCAGGCGCCCCTCCATGCTGACTTCTTAATGACTTGTTCTCTAATGAAGAATTCTGTCTCCAGATGCCGTTTGACTCTCAGACGTAAATGGGATGAAATAAGGGAATGAGTCACTGAATCCTGACATCTTAGAAAAGATCGCATTCCGTTGGCATCGGATGAGCAAAATGGGCTTTTTTATTGATGGAAAAGTTGACTGGTGTGAACAAATCAGAGGAGATGTGTTCCTTTTGATTCGCCTCTGAGTGGGAAATCAAGTGACTTGAATGGGCCTCGAGTGTGTCAACATCAAAACACAAGGATTGTGGAAACTGAAAATGTCCTGTGGCCACAGCGTGTGTGCCAGGGGCACGGGGACAGGATGAGGCAGTGCCCCTCAGCAGGCAACCCTTCCTTCTACCCGGGAGCTGGGGCCACGGGGCACAAGGCAGGCAGTCAGGACGGGAGACCGGAGCCCAGGGAAGGCACAGGGGATTAGCCCACATGAGGAGTGCCAGGCCAACGGGCAGAGAAGGAGGGAGGGAGGGAGGGAGGGTTGAGCCTGGTTTCCTGCCCTGGGGCCATCTTACCACCTTATCACAAACTGGTGGCTCAGGGAACAGAAACCCAGCCGCTCACAGTCTGGAGACCCAAAGTCAGAGATCCAGGGGGGCAGGGCCAAGCCCTTCACCCCGAGGGGCTCGAGGGGAGGCTCCCTCCTGCCTCTTCCAGCTTCTGGGGGCTCCAGTCTCCGCCTCCGTTTTCACGTGGCTTCTCCTCTGTGTCTGTGTCTCTCCTCTTCTTCTAAGGACACTTGTCATTGGATCCAGGGCACTTATAATGCAGGATGGCCTCGTCTCCAAATATGTCCCTAATTACATATACAGAGACCCTATTTACAAATAAGGTCACATTGTGAGGTTCTGGGTGGACATGAATTTGGGGGGAAACTTTAACAACAGAACTCTGAGGAGCAGGGCTTCCTGGAGGAGGTGGCCGGGGTCTACCAGCCAGAGTGTGGACATATTTGCCCTCTGGGTGCCAGGCCTGCCATCTTTGGGCAAGACCCCTGTGGCCAGTTGACACTAGCTGAGACCTTGGAGTAGACCTGCCCGGCGCCAGGCCGGGGTAAGGGTGACCGGGGCCCAGGACAGCCTGGAGACGTTGTAGTTCCGAGGGGTGGCCCCCTGGCAGGCATGGGCCAAGGGGGCAGGGAGGGCACTGTTCGAGTACTGCCCGCCCGCAGAAAGGCAGGGGTCTGGGAGCAACCACGACGTCCTTCAGCAGGCGACGGGTACGCTAACTGTGGTCGGTCCCCACAATGGAATAGTGTTCAGCTAAAAAGAAATGCTCCATCAAGCCACGGGAAGCCACACAGGAAGCTCAAATGCGTGTTACCAAGTGAAAGACGCCGGCGAGAAAAGGCTACACTGTAGCGGTCCAACTACATGACATTCTGGAAAAGGCAGAACTGTGTTAAAAAAAAAAAAAACAAAACACAGTTATCTGGGGCTGGGGGAGAGGAGAGGCTGAATAGGCAGGACAGTGACACTACTCTGTGACGCTGCAATGGTGGAAACCGGTCATCGTCCATTCATCCAAACCCACAGTGTCCAACACCAAAAATGGGTGTCACTTAATAGTAACGTGTCAACAGGGGCGCCTGGACAGCTCAGTCGGTCAAGCGTCCCAACTTCGGCTCGGCTCATGATCTCGTGGTCACGAGTTCGAGCCCCGCATCGGGCGCTGGGCTGACAGCTTGCTTCGCACTCTGTGCCTCCCTCGCTCTCCGCCCCTCCCCCGCTCTCAAAAACGAACATTAAAAACGTAAAAAATAATGGGTCAATAGTATCATTGTAACGTCGATCGTAACAAATGTCTCACAACAATGCGAGACTTCATATAGAAGAAATTCTGTGTGTGGGGGGACAGAGGTATGGGGGAACAGTGCTCCATTTTCTGTAACCCTAAACCTGCCCTAAAATATAAAGTCCATATTAACATACACTATTTAAAAAAAAAAAAAAATGACAAGGGGCTGGTTCCGGGCACGGGCTGGCCCGGGAGGTGTGGCTGTAGGGGTCCCGCCCGCAGGGTTCCATCCGGGCATCCGGTCCCCTCCAGGCCTTGCCCTCCCCGGGGCCCCTCCCAAGGGCCAAGGCCAGCTGATTGTCATCCCTGCCTGAGATCCAGAACTTACAGCTCATCGCTGCCCCTCCAAGTGCCACCAGGTCATTCCGGCTGTGTGCCAGGCTGATTATGTCACCGCTGCCTCCGGGAGGCTCCACGGGTGTCCTCAAGGACAGGGTAGGGACCGAGGCCACTGCAGGGGGAGGCGTCGCTCCCACTTCTCCCCCAAGGGGCTCTGAGTGGGGACGGAGACCAACCGCAGCCCCTCGCAGAGAAGGGGTGGGTCGTCCCCACTCCAGACGCCGGCCGGCCATCCTGCCTGTCCCAGACACAGGGTTGACTTCTCGCCGGGATTCGATCAAAGCCGCCGTCCGGGAGTGGGGTCTTTACTCGGTTACTTAATGTTGCTGAACAAGGAGGAGTTAACGACCCTAATTGCGAGCACTCACTGGTGAGTGGCATCACCTGGCCAGCCCCCGTGTCCTCCGTGGGCGGCACACACCCGTGGCTCTGTCGTTACCGCGTGGCCGGCCTGCACCTGTTCCCGTTGGCTGTGGGGGGAGGGACCCGGCGTGCACGAGGCTGCGGTCTGGGCCGGTTGTTTCGTCAGAGCTCTCTTACCGTGTGTGGCTGAACGCAGTCCCCAGCCGGCCGCCCCCCAGCCCATACCCTGGCGACCGGCTGCCTGACCTTGCCCTCCAGCCGTCTCCTCGGGGCATTTCCTGTTCCCGGAGCCTGGGGGCTCAGGGTGGTGGTGGGGGACACTAGCCCAAACCCACCAACCCACTCCGGGGGCCTTAAGACCCCCCCTGACCCTAGTGCAGGCTGCTCTATGTTGCGGGGAAGAGCCACCGCTCGCCCTGCCGCGCGCGATGTTCTGGAGCCGTGGCACCCCTTGGCCTCTTCCCCAGATGGGGTGTGCTGTCTGTCCCCCTCCTCGTTGCCTGGTCACCCGCGCTCCAGCTCCCTGCACCCCCTTGGCCCGTCTGCAGAGAAGGCTGCGGCCTTTGCCACCGGGCAGGGCTGGGCGCTGGCTCTGCCCGGTACCCAGGTGCCCTCAGGAAAAGGGGGAACGTCTCTGTTCATTGTCTGTGCCCAGGACAGCCGTGTTTGGCCGCTTGTCCCCACAGACCCGTCGGTGAGCGGGGCCGTGATAAACCCCGCTTCGTGTCGTGGCTAATTTTGGAAGCTCACCGCCTTCCTCCTCCCTCTCGTGGCCGCCTTCCCTCCCCGCCGCCAAGTCAGCGCCCACGGCTGTACCTAATGCCACACAGCCCGGCGCCAGGCCCGGCCCTGCCCCAGGACCTTGTGTCATGCACACAGGTGGCCCCGGAACGGCCACATCATCCGCAAGATGGGCCTTAGCCGCCTGCCCCACCCTGCCCGGGCTGAGCCCACATCCCAGGGAAGCCTTGGCCCGGCCACCCTGCCCAGCTTGGTGGGGGGAGGCGGGGCGGGGACCAGTCCGGCCTTCTGGGGAGTCTTTGGCAGGAGTGGGGCCGCTGGGTCACCCTGAGAGGCTCCTCCCCGGAGCTCATCATCTGGGGACCCAGCATCTAAGGCGAGGAGGGTCCCAGGTGGGCCACGCCGGGTGCAGACAGATCCCCACCTGGTGTCTGGCCCCTCTCTCTTCATTCACAGGCCCTGGCATGTGCCCTGCGTCTGGGGAGTCTGGCCCAGGGGCTCCGACCATCTTGCCTCCGGGGTGCCTGGGGCGGGCCTGGGGCCTCACCCGTAAACGCAGCCGCCTCCTGAGGGAAGAGCTGTCTTGGTGGGGAGGGGGGGCCGGGGGGGTCCCGGAAATGCCCTGGGGGTGCAGGGGGCTTCTCTGCAGCGCAGGGTGCCAAGTCACCCCAGTACCTCATCTTTCTCTTCCTCTGTGCTGACCGGGCTGGTGGCCCTTCACCCGGGGCCGGGTCTCTGCTCCCCGCTCTACACCCACGACAGCGTCATGCCCGATTAGCGCCCACGGGGTGAAGCCTGCCATTCTGAGGGCTGGGGCAGCCCGGGAAGCTGCACTGAGGGTGCATCGCCACAGAGTGCCCACTGAAGCCCGAGGCCACGGCCAGGAAGGGCCCAACCTCAGGCCCCTGCAGAAAGCCCAGGGCCTCCCGTGAGCCCACAGCCGCGTCCGCCGGGTGGGGGGCAGAGACAATCCGTCACCAACGCTCACAACCTCTGTAACCAGGACAAACATCACCGAGGGGATGCGGTCTGGGACCACCAGGTGGCAGAGTGGCGAAGAACCAGTGTGCAGCAGCCAGGAGGGCTTCCTGGAGGAAGGGGCACTGGAACAGACAGGCTAATTACCTGGAGAAAAGGAGACGGGCTGTGCTGGGCAGGGATACAGCTAGGAAAAAGATTGGGGGGTGGACACAGCGTGGCCTCAACGAGTAGAGGGGGGCCAGCTTGGCCCGAGGACAGTGAATGCCTCACATCAACCTCCCCAGGGCCTGCCCCGGCTTGGGGACTTTTCTGGGGACACAGATGGGGGCCTCCGGGGTGTTTCCAGGTGAACCGGAGTCAGCCTCCGTGGCTTTTGAATAATCACTAGGAGCCTCAGCACCGGTGGGGGCCGGAGTGGCTGGGATGATCAGAGAGGTGCGCTCGTGTCCTGGGCAGGGGGACAGGCCTCAGCCTCTAGAAAGGGGAAGGGCGCAGGCCACGGCAGAGCTCGCCGCTAGGATGGGGGTCCCTACTCAAGGGGTCTGGGGGCCGTCCCTGGGGAGACCACTGGGCCGTTGTCCTGTTGCCATGGCTCCCAGCCGCCACTAATCCTCAGCCTTCTCTTTGGTGCTGGCCTGACCTCTGCAGAGTGTACCCAGATGTCCCCACACTTGCTGCTCCTGGGGACTCATGCCGGGAGCATGGGGCAAAGGGGAGGGGGAAGGCGGACAGGCCACCTCTCTGGACACCTCCTTTCCCATCGGAGCCCCCGGCAGCCGCCAGGTGAGGCCACCCAGGTGGGAGGGTGTCACAGGGGTCCCAGCCTGATGCTGGGCTGTAACCAAGCACCCACCCACCCACAAGGCTGTGTCCCCCTTGTGTGCCAGACGCTGACTCCCACACGGGACCCTGCGCCCTCGGGACACTGAGATCGAGGAAGCTGCTTGGGGAACCCCAGATCTTTGGGGGCCTCTGGCCAGCAGGAGCTGGGTACAGCCCATGGCTGAGGTGTGAACCACAAGGGTGTCAAAAGAGGCTGAAGGAAGGGGCGAGGCAGATGGGGGTGGTGGGGAAGGAGTCTGGGGGGCTTGGAGAGGTTCTCGGGGGATCCGCATAGAGAAGCCACAGCTGTGGACTGGGCAAGGCATGGCCAGGGATCTCCAGAGAGGGTGGAAAGGCCAGGGTTCACACGGGGCAGATTCGGGTCGGGGGGGGGGGCCTGGGACCCGGCCTCCGATGCCAATGTCCACCCAGAGCCCGGCCCCGGCCTAAGGCATGGCAGGTCCCAGAACGAAGCCCAGGGATTGTGCAGACAACCAGCCCTGCGTGGGGCAAGAAGGCATGAGCCCTAACAGCCAGAGCTCACGGGACGTGGGCCATAATCATACCCCCCAGGGCACTGTCACCTCCTCCACAGGCTGCGACCCGGAGACACCCGAGCTCTGTGCCTGTGGAGGACAGAGCTGGCCATTCAGGCTGTAGTGGCCCCTATGTCCTCAAGACACAGACCCAGAGGTCCCCACCGTGCTCAGACCCCCAGCACCCCCCTTCTGGTCACTCTCACTGTCAGATCACGCCCCTCGCGGTGGCCCGGCCCTACCATTTTGGCCCCTTTCCCGCCACTGGTCCCATTGTCGCCCGTCCAGTCACAAGAACATGCCAAGTTCACTCCTGCCGCAGAGCCTTTGCATCTGCTGTTCCCTGTGTCTAGTCTGTTCCTGGCCTCACTGGAGTCAGCTGTCTCCTTACAGAGCCTGTCCCAGCCTCTCTGTCCCCACGACTGTCTCTTCCTCGGCACCTGCTTCTTTCCACACAGTACTTCCAATGATTTAAAAGCACCCCCGTTAAATACCTCTCCGGACCACTCTGGCGCTCACGGAATAGGCCCCTCCTGTTTTGTCCAGAGCGAATCTGCATCGTCCGGTGCAGGCCGGGCCGGGGAGCGCCGAGAACTACGTGTCTTCCACCCGATCGATTCCAGAGGGTTTGCGCGCACCCGCTGAGCTCGCGACAGCCCACACGCAGGTGCTCGTGTGGTCCGCCTTCCCGGCTGGCAAGCCAAGGAGGACACGCAGCCTGGCCCTAGCTCAGCCCGCCCACGGTCCAGGGGGACATCCGAACCGCAGGCTCGGTGCAGCCATCGGGCCCTCCCGAGGGGCCAGGACCCCTTGACCTCCTGCGGCTACGGCTCCCCGCGGGACATCCGAAAGACGGCAGCCTCCTTGCGGGGCCGGTGGGGACTGTGGGGGAGGGAACAGTTTCCTCTCCGGGGCTCCATGTTTCCTTGGCAGGGGGTGTCCAGATTTACCACCACAGGGGTGAGGTCTATGCGGCCCCCTTGGGGAGCTGAAGGACTGCAAGGACCCAGCCTGGGGTGGGGGACGGGGGCTGGGCCACCTTTTGAACAAGGGGTCTGGGTCTGGCTGGGGAGGGGCTACTATGTGCCCCAGGGAGCAGCCCAGCGCCCCCCCCACGTGGAGCCTGCATGGAGACAGGTACGTGCCCCAAGCTGGACCCCCTGGTTCCGTAAGTGCCTTTTCTAGATTAAAAACATAACCCACATTTCTTGTACAAAATGAAACATCTCAGAAAAGCATAAAGAAGAAAGTACCTTGGGGCGCCTGGGCGGCTCAGTCGGCTCAACGGCCAACTGTTGATCTTGGCCTGGTCACGGTCTCACGGTCCCGAGATCCAGCCCCACGCTGGGCTCTGCACGGGGTGTGGAGCCTGCTTAAGACTCTCTCTGTCTCTGTCTCTCTCTCTCTCTCTCCCTTTACCGTCGTCCTTCTCTCTCTCTCTCAAAGAAGGAGGAGAAAGAGAAGGAGGAGGGGGAAGGGGCAGAGGGAACAGAAGAGGGGGAGGAGGAGGAGGAGAAGGGGGAGGAGGGGAGGGAGGAGGAGGGAGAGGAGGGGAGGAGGGAAGGGGAGGAGGAGGAGAGGGGTAGAGGGAGGGGAGGGGGAGAAGGGGGGGGA